TAAATAAAAAGTGAAAAATGAAACAAATGTATTTAAAATTTCATAAAAAATAATTTTGAAAAAGTATTTCAGTTGGAAAGATTCGTTCGTTCGGGTTCGATTTAAAGTTAAAAAATAAATTTACAAAAAAAAAATTGACAATAATCGCAGGGCCATTTGATTTTTCTTGTTACGTCGCCTGCCATGGTAAGTAAAGTCACTTTAGATTGAAACGGACGCGTTTAGAGACACAATAGCATTTAAATTGGAGTTAAGCAGGGTTTTTATATTGTTCTCCATTAAAATGTAACAATAATTTTTTTTTTTTTTTTTTTTTGGTGGTTACTTTTGCTTCTTGTTTCTAAAAATTATTTCTATTCGTTTTTTCTATTTTTTTTTTTTTAAATATTTTTTGATCGTTTACTTTACTAATTAAATTCTTTGGAAAATGTATCGAACGTGCTGTTTATGATGAACAAGTGTTTGATGTTTGGTGATGGAGTTTGACTTTACTTTGAAACAAATGAACCAAATATTCGCACGCACGCGCTTTTTAAAAATCACGATGTGATCTCTACAACGGAAGCCACTATAGTAAAACAATGCTAGAGATGCTGATGACTATTGTAGCATTGTCTTCTTTAAATCTTCTGCTTGTAAATTGTATTGGAGTTTGTTTTGTTTTTTTTTTTTTTTAGTTTTTTTGCCAAACAAAACTTTAGCTCAAATTTACTTAATGCTTTGCTTCATTGAAGCATTTTTTTTTTTACATTTATATACATATGCCTGCAATCTGCAACTGCAGGGAAAAATGTACCCATAAGTGACAAATAGTAAGAGAGTTTATCAAAAGAGAAAAAAAAAAAAAAACATTATATACATATATATGTACTGTAAAGGTACACGATACAGTGTATTTTTACAAATTTTTTTAATCAAAATTTTCTTAATTAACGCCTACGTAAACGTTAATCAGGAATCTTGTTATCAAATTTCCTTTTTTAACTCTCGCCCCACTCTGTTACGGGATAAGAGATTTATTTTAAATTTTTTTCGTTATCTTTCGCCATTCGCTATATGAAAATATTTGGACGAATTTTTTGATATTTTTATGCGTACATTTTTTGGATTCTCTCCCCTATATATATATATATATTAGTTGTTCAAAATGTGCTATACACCGAAATATAACGAATTTTTTGAGATTTTTATGCGTCAATTTTTTGGATATATATATATATAATTTGGAAAATATATATATATATATATATTAATTGTTCAATATGTGCTATACACTGAAATCTATTAAATTGAATTAGATAATCTCTTCCTTGTGCTAGGCGAGGTAAGTGATGGAGAACATGTAACGCTCGACGTTGTTTTCTTCAAAAAAGTCTTCAGCTTTAATAGGCATTTTTACAAAGGAATTTTATGAAATCATTTAGAGGAAAGACAAAAGAAATGAAAACCGAGCCCTCTCAGATGCAGAGAATCCATAGCTTGGGAATGCTTGCGAACAACAGATGAAGGGACAGACGAAATTAACCAAATCGAAGTGGAATCGTTTAGTAACCGAGACTAAATATATATTAGGGGACATGTAATATGTACATACTAGTTTAACAAAAGTGAAATGAAATGATGACGTCATTTGGTCTATTTATTAAAAGTATTGACGTTCACTAAAATTTTTATAGTAAATTGAAATTGTAATCGCAACTATTCGCTTCGTCAGATTTGAAATCGTAGGAGCTCTCACTTACAATATGTAGAAAATCTTGATCACAAAGTTAAGAATAAAAATAAATGTTTCTGCTCGATCAGCCGGCCCACCCATAATTAGCTGAATACTTTGTAATTTTTAAGGTGCATTAATTTGATTACATCAAGCATTCCATCAGTACTTTTCCGTCCACCAATCGGATTTGTTTTGATGAATAAATCGAACTTTCTTCTTAATAACTCAGATGTTCCTACATACCCTTGTCCATCTATCCTTATAAAGCAAAGGCTTCTTAAATTTACTTAAGCAGTAATTCTTAGGATTTTGTTCTGAAGCATATCGCATTAACATGACATTCTTTAATTATTCTGAAAATTTTTGTTTAGTTTTTGTTTTTTAATGTATTAGCTAGATGGAGGGTACTGTCAAAAAGTAATTGGGCTGCAGATGTGAAGTTTCTTGAGGCTAAGCGTACAATGCTGAAGAAGATAAATTTTTACGGCTTTCTTTGCTTCTTTTTCGGAGATCTTTTGCGAGCAATTCAATGGAAATCACTTATTTATTTTTAAAAGTTATTAATTTTTTTTTTTTCCAATTTTTTAAAAATTTGAAAAATGGTATTTTTTTTTTTTGCGAATAGATTATAGAATAGCGGCCACTGTGCAAAGAATATGTTTGTTGTATCTTTCAATAGTTGTGATTGCCTCAAAGCAATGTCATCAATACAAACAACCGTACAATAGAAACAATGGAAAAATCTTTTAGACTAAAATGAATTCAAAATCTAACTTCGAAGCATAAGAAGAGGCAAAAATCATTCAAGAATAATTTTTTTCTTTGCTGCTTTTTTTTTTTTTTTTTAAATTATTTTATTTTCATTTAACTCATCTATTTACTATTATTATTATTTTTACGTTAGTTCTGCTATAATTTTGTGGTATACAAAGATTTAAAAAAAAAAAAAACAAAAAACAAAAAAAAAATGTATGCTGTTCGGTTTCATTTGAATTGGGTGAACGTGTGGGTAAAGCTCGGTTTTGATAGAAAACAACAAGACACACCGAAATGCACTTTAACGTAATAAATCGTGTGTGTCTGTGCATGACTGCAGTAAACTCATCCAACCATTGACAGTAATCGGCATAGATTAATAAACTCGATGTAATCATCTAAGATAAACCTTAAGCACATCGACGTATGCCCGTGTGTGCATTGTCTCGCTTTTCTTATTATAGGCTTATATAGGTGTTGCTTACGGGTGACAATGTTCATGGCCATCCTTCATACGAACTATGAGCACTTGCGTGCCGCTTTCGTCTTAAATACATCAAATTTTGTTGGGCTCTTATTGTTAAGTCATTTTCATATACTTAAGGAATTATAGCAAAAAAAAAAAAAAAAAAAAAAAAAAAAACAATAATTTTTATTATGTTTTTTTTTTCCGTTTTATTTATTTTTTAAAATTTTACAATTAAATGCAACAAAAAATGAAAGAATTAAAATAAAATGCTTTGTTCAACAACAAAACCTTTCATTTAACCAATTCAACTCGTTTCCTACAATCTTTACTCTTGCAAAATTTTGATTTGTTCATCAACACATATATGCTTCCATGTTCCACTCATAGCAAAAATCAAATTTGTTCATCAGATTCTAGAAATAAGTTCGTATATAATGCTTTTCCTTTGCTTCCTTCTTCCTTCTCTTAAATGCATATCTAACGTTAGATATGCTAACTGAAGAAATTAAGTTTGAAATAATTGCAAAAAATTTCAATTATATTAGGGCTACGTCTGCTTAGTAGAAATCGGAATCTCTGACTATATCAGACATTACTGATTATTGAAGTAAAAACTCATAGCGGCAACCTTCAAAACTTTACCATTTTGCTAATAGCTGTACGGGTGAGATTTCTTAGATCAGAGTTGATTAATAGATCGTCTGCAAAGCGCCTATGTTTGTCGATTGTAATATAATTTTTAGTTGACGGCAGACAACGGCCGCAATGGAAGACCCATCCTTTCGCTATCAATATTTCCACATCATTTTTTAGGCGTCTCTCCTTGCTATAGTCAAAGCTACAAGAGCGCGACGCGTTTACACAGATCAGCTAACAGGCCTGATCCGTTTCAAGATACGTCCTTAGTTAATGTGAAAAGTACTCAAACTAAAATATTTAGAGAAATTTTTTATCGATCTATAATAATAAGATAAATACACAAGTTTTCATAATCAATAAACAAGAACCAGTCAGCGCACGGATGATTTATACCTATATCTACAAATAACTTTCTTTCGATATATTTTTTATTTATTTATTTATTTTCATTTTTTTTTTCTTTTTGGTCATAGCCATTGACATCTAAAGTTCGGTTTCAACACGAATGCGTTGTCTCACTTCTTTTGGTTGGCAAAATATCTCGAAGCGATGGGCATCCGTAAGCCGTCTCGATGCAAACACAACGTCTCTTCGCTTCTAGTGGCTTACATTTATGTTATGTTTATGGTTGAAGAGATAACTTTTTCTATGCATACGTTTATGCTACCATTTCAAGTAAATTTTTGTTAAATAATCTTAATTTTTAATTGCATTTTGTCTGTTGAGTTGCAATGATGCTCAACTTGAAACATTTTACAGTCATAGTTCATTTTTATCGTACAATTTAGGTCATTCAACTAAATGCACAAATTTTATTATTATCATCGCTTCGCACGTAATCATTCTGTATATGCGTGTATGTATACAAATATGTTTTGAAAATAACATATAAATATAACAATATTACTTATAATAAATTCCATATCGAAAATTTTAAAGGCCTTATTAGTACTTACATTGTCCATTATCGCTGTAACATCAAAGAATCGCTATAAGAAACAAAAAGAAGAAGAAAAGAACCATTCGAACTCGATGCCTATGGCGTTACAGGAAAACTAGTTTTCCTTCTTTGAAAATCAAATTCGAAAAGTAAAATCACTTAAATACTA